AAAAAATTGAGGATTTAAAATATAATGTTGAATTATCACAAAAAATAGATATAGAATTTTTTAGTGTTGCTAAGTTAAATAATGGAGATGAGGAAATTCCGATGTAATAATAAATGAATGAAATGGGAGAAGCACAGGATATTTCGTTATTTGTGGAATACAATGAGCATTCCCCTCGGTCCCTGTGTACTCAATTGTTTGGTGTATATATTCCCACAAAGCCGAGGGGTGAGTGCTTTTGTTGTGCGAGGGGTTGAGTTAGCCGAGTCAATCACTGAGTGATTGACATTATCAGCTCTACTTGAACAATATAGAAAAAGATTGGTGAATATGATAATAAAGATACTGAGACAATCTCGAGGCAATTGAAGGGCCTCAACCCTCAAGATTTCATTAAAAATAAATAAAAAAAAAATACCTCTGATCAATTCTTATCAATCCTAAATCGCCATTCAATCAGCAAAAGTACGGAGGATTCCATACCTAATTCCACCAATCAATAATTCCATTAGCGCAGAATGCAGATGTAGCATTTGTATATCTATATCATGCTCATGTCCATTATCGCACTCAGGTATCCGCACTCTATCAATCTTACAGGCAATTGTATACACCGCAGAATTGAAATGGACTCGTCGGGATGTGCCATACGTTTCGCTAATGCATATCTACAATTCATCTATCCAACCTATTCCAACGAAAAATTAATAGTCATCCCTATACAGCGTTTTTTTTTTTTAAATAAATGAAATCGTCATTTTTCCACTCGTGGGAAGAAAAACGTCCGGTGAATCTGTCACACGTAGAATTTCATTTCATCTCATATTTCGAGCGGAATGATTTTGATTTTGGATAGGAAATAAATGGGAGATAGTCGGGGAAAATATTTTGCACGACTGCCAGTGAATTGAAAAAAAAATTCTCGTTTTCTCAAGTTAGCATGTAAACGAGGGAACGAGTGGGGATTTGTGCCCCTTTATTTTATCATTGATAGTGAGCGACGCGGAAGTTTTTGGGCGATGGTAAATAATATATAACGGTGCCCGGTATAAATGCCAATTAGTTGGTTGAATCAAGCGCAAAAGGGCGGGCGTAAAGCTCTCCTGTGCGATGAGAGGTGAGAGGAGGAATGAGGGAGTGAAGAATGAGCCGTTCAACTAACACGAAAGATTTTGCGCTCACCCGCTGGTATTCATAAAAGAATATAAAGTCTAGAGGCTGTATATATGTAACTACTGGTAACAGCTCAATGGATTTTTTTAATTAAAAGCGTCAGCCGTAAATACATTTTGCCAATGCAGTTGAACTTTTGATGTTGATGATACAGTCTGCGGTATAATGGAATTCTTATGAAATTTTTAAAATAATGAGAGTAAATTGCATTCTCAGGGAAGTGGGCCTTTGAATTTATTCGAATCATCAAAGTATCCGGTGGCAGCGGTATCGTCTGACGTTTTTAATCAAACTTCTTTGAACGAACTCTGATGAAGATCAAATATCATTACCAGTGGTGAATAAAAAGTAATTGCTAAATCCGGGGTAAAGTGGCGGACAAACAGATTCTCATTGGCAGAAAAACCCGAATAATTATCTGATGCTGTTTACTTAATTCGTTGGCGAATTCGCGTTGATACTGGTGGCTGCTTTTTTTTTTTTCTCTTTTTTATTTAAAACCCCTCCAGCAAAATCACGGAGTCAGATTAAAATACTGTTTGGGTATGTACTTGAATTCGTATTCATTTATTCCGATTGTTGTGGTCCAGGGTAAATGTAATTTTCTCAGATGAGTGGTGACTAAAATAGTTTACCATAATTTTTATTTTAAAAAGACAATTGTGATGATGGAGTGTCTGGTGAGATTATGCTCCCCATAACGAATGGATGAATTCTGGTTTATTGTTATGGGCGATCGTAGACCCATCACTATGGGTTACGTATGAATATCTAATGCTATCCCCTTTCCCCTTTTCACAATTAAATTTGGACAATATGTTTTGTTTCGCTTGAGCCCACCCTCGGTCGAGCAAATGGGGATGATGAAGGGGGAATTGTCGTTTATGTATCGATATACGGTTTGTGGGGCAGACCCCACTTCAGGGAGATGAGAAGGGAAGCAGATTGAATAACGCTGTGAGTGTTAATCTCACGCTAACCCACCAAATTCACGCAAGTGCTAACTTAATAGTTCTTTTGGTTTCATTCGAGTTCAACTAGTGGGATAATTTCATTTTTTTTTTCCCCCATTTTTTTTTTCCACCGCAATGAGAAATTAAAGAAATGTCAAGCGAGTGTATTTTTTATTTACAATAACAATAAAAAATTTAGCATGATAAAATAAATTTTCTCCACTTGTTTAACGAATGTTTTAAAAAATCAAGGAAATAGTTTTTTTATTGGAAAATTTTTTCCTCGAACCTATCTATTTTCATCCTATTACCTTGAATCTCCAGTCGACAATATTCGTATCTCCACCTAATAACCCCTGAATAATTTACCCCCCTTTCCCCCTCCCCCGTCAATTGAATCCCACCCTGAGGACGTCATCGCCAAGCAAATCCCAGCCACCCAATCAATCAGATCCCGCGTAACATCTAGTTTATTCCACCAAAACCCAAGTACCCCCCCCCCCCCTTTTTTTATCAATCGACATGAGCTCGGATTAACCGTCCACCCGGCGTTTGCGCACACACCTAAGTACAAAAAAAAAAAAAAGAATAAAAAATGAGGGGAAAAAAAAGGGAGGTAAAAGTGCTCAGTACTCACATGAGGCCTTAAAAATTCCCACCCACAGCCCACATTTCATACCTGTTAGGGTTACGAGGCGTTTGAGAAAACGACAGCATTAATAAAAATAAGAAGACCGCAAGTAGAAGTGCACGCGCCTCAGCGTCTAGTCTGCATTGAAGAGTACAGAGTGAAAAAAAAAAGAAAAGGAAAAAAAAAAAGAGGAGAATAATAAGAGAAGTAACATTCCGGGTATTTCGAACGGTTAGGGTACTTCATTTTGACGCGGGTTCGTGGGCTTGCCGTTACAACAGCCAATCGTAATCTTGGTGTCGTATCGACTCAATCGTTTGGACCACGCCTACGGAATGGTACGATTGGCGGAATAACAGTGGGGAACACTGGGTGAATGGTAGCCTAACCAACCCGTATCTTTGTACTTGAATGCCTCAACAGTGGTGGGGTGTCAAAGAAATAAACCGAAGGGGGGCAGAATGACCTAGGGCGGGATCATCACCACGAGCTTGACTGAGTCGTTTACTCGCTTCGGGACAACCAACCTCGGAGCATAACATCTAGTTGTGCTTGTGACACCTGACAGTATTTTTCGTGAATATTGTTTACCGAATATATATATTTTTTTAAATTGTTGTGTGACTCCATGGGCAACTCACCCTCTCCACATTTTTTTCCCCTTTTTTTTTTATCTAATCAGCAGTTGACTGATTGGTTTTGAATTTTAATCAGTGATTTGTGCAGCTGTGAACGTGAAGTGACTTGTTTTCAGTATTATACCGAGAGTTACAGCCGCATGATATCGGCTCAGTGATATTTTCAACGTGATTATTTATATTTGTTGGTAAACAACGGATTTAAGGGGAATTGTTGACCAACGGCGGTAAAATTGAGCTGGATTTGCAACGCGCCGCCGGCAACTTTATAAGGTAATTACGGCACTATTGTTATTTGAATATTTCAATGGAATATTTTTCAAACGAAATACTCAAGGAGTTGTAAAGTCCCGGAGAATTTTATTGAATTGAATGACCCGAGGATTGTCTGTCATAAATTTCTTCCGAATGCCTCGAGGCCATAAAGCGTTGTCATTGAAAAAAATAATAATAATAATAAAGTGGAGTCAACAGTTGAACGCCAAAATTTGCAATAAAAACCAAAAGACTCCCTCCAAATTTTGGCGGGAAAGATGTTGAATGCCTCATAGAATTCATCAGTATTATTTTTTCCATTCAATCTCCACCAGACGCCACCTAATCATAACCACAAGTATCGAAAACACTTCCCCAACGTTCGCGAAGGGACAGAGAGAGAAATAAAAATGAAAGAAAAAAAAAAAAATCCCACACTACTGACAATTTATTTCCCTCGCAGATGGGATATTATCCACTCCCTCCCCAATGTGACGTCTGTTATAGAGTCGTCGACGAAAATCCGTCGGTTGCAAAGCGGATGGCATTGTGGGGCCTCGAGATACCATAAAAGGATCCTTTCATGAAAAACTAGGGTCACGACAATACGAAGGGAAAAGAAACTCAAGAAAAATTTTGAATCGTGTAATAAATCGTTGGAGTTCACCCCCCACCTCTCATAACACACTCTAAACATTCAATTAGCGTTTCCTAATTCCATGCCCTTGTCAACAACCATTACTTCCAGCATCTTTCGCACCACACGCTCTTGTCTATACTCGTTTTACCCCCTGTTGCCCCACCTTTCGCCCAGTTTTACCCCCTCGAACCCTCACGGGATTCAACACTGGTGACGGTCACCGAGGGTTGAAAGGGCCCACCCCCATTCAAACCTCGTCACCCCTCTCGTGACCTACGTATCTATTAATCCCTGGTGAATGACACTCGAGAGTTATCACGGGGTGGAGTACCTCAGCCATTCCTACCCCCACCCCCTCGCACAAAAAAATAAAGAGTGATTTTTTCGTAACTACACACGCCTCGGGGTGAAAACCTCTCTCCTTCCGCATCCCAATGAAAAACCGCATCAAGAGCCTTTTTTTTCTCTCTCTCTCCATCTTTTTTTTTAATGAATACTCAAGGAGAACGGTGACGTAATTGTATTAGTTCAAGAGTCTCGAGTACCTCAGGGCCATATGCACTGGAGGGTGACATTTAGGGTGAATATCTCGAGATCATTCCCACCCTCGTGGTTTTCAACGAAATAAGCATTCAATCTTTATCCCAGTCTCTTGGATTAAATTTTAATTAATTCGGTGAATTATAATTGGTGGGTCTTACGGGATTTTTTTTTCTATTGTTTAATTAATTGATTGATTTTTACAGAGCCGGCGGACACATGTGCGACGGTGGTGTTTTCCAGGATTCACTGAGGGGCATGCAGTGCTTGAGTGTTGCAACACCACCAGGTAGTGTTGAAGTTGGACCAATGGCTGTTGCACTTGCCAATCCACCTCAGTCCACCAAAAAACCACCCAGCGAACACATCAAAAGGCCCATGAATGCATTTATGGTGTGGTCACGACTTCAACGGAGAAAAATAGCCCAGGACAACCCCAAGATGCACAACAGTGAAATATCAAAACAACTCGGTAAGGGATACTCGATAAAAAAAAAATTCCACCCCCATAAATTTTATCCCATAATTTTATTTTATAATGAAAATACAAAAAGGTGTTCAAAGTTATTCCTATAGGTAAAATTCATCCCGTAGAATAGCCCGGTTATATTGCCCGGTTATTACTCCCATGACTGAATCCGTAATTTCTGAGATAAAAGAGAAATTTTGGAATAATGAAAGAGATAGTAACCCTTATAATGCGTGTGATTTTCAATAGGTAAATCGGCCGACTGACGGTACACAATATACTGTATAGGATTACTCGTTATACTGCGGGGTTATAATACAAATACAAACGATAGCGGATACACGTTCTCCCGTACATAATAAAGAGCAAAAACCCTATTGCACGGCAAATTATTCAGTAGACTTGCGCCAAACGATAAAGAGAAAAAAAAAAAAAATGAGGAGAAATGGAAAGAAAAAAAAGAAGCGGCTTTTAGTCCAGATCCTCAATCCCGGTATAATACACATTTACAATACGGTACTCAGGGCAACCCACCCGACAGTAGCTCCCTTATTCCGTCTCGTTAGCCCCACCAAAGACGAGGAAAAGGGCGACATTTCCTGCATACGCTACCCCTCCCTTGTCACCCCACCCCTCAATCCATCTCTCTCGTACTCGTTAACTCATATGCAACCGGTAAATGTACATAACGTGTACATGAATTGAACCTGTGTGCGGGGAATTCATCGGGCGTGACGAAACGACCCACCAAAAATCTTCAACTTGAAGAAGGCAGAGAAAAAATTGTTGGGAATACGCGGCTGAACGAAAGGCATTTCGCTTTGGCATTTCCATCAAATACCCGGAAATCCACAAAGATTTTACCCGCGGCGTCTCGCCCTCTTCCTATATGAAGAAAAAAAAAAAAGAAATCCAGGAGGAGGGATGCCCTGGGGGTATCCCACCCCATTTCTATCCTGGGGAAGAGCCCGTACGTACGTTGTGCAACTTTTTCATCCGACAACACTGCATTTCGCTCTCGCTGAAATATCTCACGCGATTTCTCTCCCTCGCACTCGCTAATCCCCTCCTTTTTTTCTCCTTTCTTTTTTTTTTCATTTTTTTTTTTTTGAAAATTCAACCGCCCATCTCCGCCTCCTTCGTCTATCTCGTCCTTGACGACAACGAATGAGGCGCAAGTGGCGTACATAACGCAGCGCTTGCGCATGCTAGGGATTTTAACTCCCAGCCTCCCTCACTCACACTATGATTTTACAGTGCCCTCCAAACCCTTCTGTTATAGCTTTTATTCGGTCGGTATTTGTCCCGTGTGTGCTACCCACCACTTTACCATCAAGTATTTCTGCCTTTTGGCTTTTTTTTTTACTGCGTGAATTCCCCGGGGTACTTGACTTCTTATCAATTTCAATCAGAGGTAATGGAAAGATAAGAATTTAAATTTCGGCCGTAACAAATTTTCCGGATGATATTCTAAAACCTGAGAAAAATATTCAAATCATTTCAATTGTAATAATAATCGAGGGAATTAAAGTTTTTTATTAATTAATTAATAATTGATTGAAATATGGGGATTTTATTTAGACTGGTAGATCTGAGATGATTGGTTGATGGGGGATTGTAAATTTTGAAGGGATTAATTAATTTTTAAAATTTTTTTCGTTAAATGGTGGGGGATTTTTTTTTTCTTTTGGTGGAGAGGAATAAACAAGCACTTGGAGAGGATTACAGGGGTGGGTTTAACTACTGCCCTAAGGATTACACTCGACGTGGGGAGACTATTGTTGTGGTCCCAGTAATTGATTAGACACTCGTGGACGATTGAATTTCACGGCTCATTGTCTTCTTTGAAAGTTACATTAAATCAATTCCACTATCCAGCGATCACACAGAGAATTAACTCCAAAAAAAAAAAAACAAATAATAAAATATCATAACGCACTAAACGTCGGAATAAAAAAATTAAAATAATAATAATAAATTTTAGCCGGTGTCATTCGAAAATACGAGGGATAAAGGGCGTGCCGGTATTACGGAGGAGAAAATCTGAAACATTCTGCGAACAGTGTCACACGGTGTAAGAGAAAAAAAAAAAGCGGGAACCGTGTAATATTCATGGTTCTTAGCCAGGGTATGGAGAGATCTGGGAAACGAGAATAAGGATAGCCCCGGACAACAGGAACCTGCGACTCGTCCATTGAATCGGCCTGAGGACAATGTAGTACGCGCCTTTGTCACACGGATACAAAACACCCTATGGTTCTCTTGCACGCGCATACTTTCTTCTATGCGGGATTAAAAATGATCGTTCCCAATGTATATGTTTCGCATATACCTTTTCAGCGTTAAAGATGAAAAACCGTGTAATGCATAAAAGGGGGTAAAAATCTCTTGTGTTTGAGGGATAGAATTCGTTTCTTGGAGAAATCCAACACTCTTGTCTATTTCTGCATGAAATATATCCGTGTCTCATCCACAATGACAATTTCCAACCAAGCCCTTTTGTCTCTGAAATTCAATGAGGGGTTTAATTTTTTTTTATTTTAATCAATCGATTATTTAAAAAATTGATAAATCGACATGTCGAATATTTTTGGATTGGATTTATGGATTTCAAAATTCAATTATTCAATTCGTCAATAAAAAAAGGAGTGGAACAATAAAATAATTACGTGGGGATTTTCGATGATGGCGTCGATTTTCTTGAGGGGTAACTCAAGAATATCAGTCAGACCTCGGATTCTCCCATGGCATTGTCCCCAGGACTATTTAAAATTAGATAACTTCAACCTGGAAGCGCACCTAAATCATCCCCTCCAATATCCCCACGAAAAACGCGACAATGAACAATCTCGACTAGCGATTCTCCCCTGAAAGGACGCAATTCAAACAATACCACCGCTCGAAAATCACGAAAACTCCCCATCCCCCCATCCCCCAAAGGGGATTGGGCATTGTGCAAAAAGAAAAAAAAAAGAGAGAGAGAAAGAGAGACGGAAAAAAAAATTTGACGCCGGTTCAAATTGGATTATAGATTCGTTATATGATACAGAGAATAATAGCTGAAAAAGAAGGGGTTAACCCGGTGGTAAAAAAAATAATAAAAGGAGAGAAACCACTAACTTGAGAGGTAGAGAATAAATCTTAGTACTTTGGATAGCACTCTAATGTGCGGACACAATAATAAAAGCCAAACACGAGGGATCCAGTGAGTGGCTGCCAACGAAGAACCATTGGTTGAGAGTGCGAGAGAGAAAGATTCAAGTATTTTCAACCCCCTTGTACCTCCCCCTCGCCACCCCTTTCCCAACCCATTGGTATACATAAACGTTAATAGGACTGTGTGTATTGCAATGTGCTTAGACTGTATATATATGGGTTGAGCCAACATTGGTCCGCTCACGTTGGCCCTATATTGTTTGTGGCAGCCATTGGTCGGGGTGCCACTGCATCCTTCCTCCGTTCAACCCCCCTCCCCCCCCGTCCATTAATTAACAGGCTTTGTACTTTTAAACGATGTTAAATAAACGGCATTGTTCACCAGCGAAAGGACGGAAAGGCAGGGGCCATTGTGGGTGCCTTGGGTGGCATCTCTCTCAATTTCTATGCGGAAAAAGGTGGGTGGTGAGGTGGAGAGAAAATTTTCAAGAGAGAGGAGGAGAGATTGACGTTTTTCGCGGATCGAATGAGATGAAGAGGTATTGCTTTTACTTGAGAACCACCAGTACGTACCTAATACCGTCGGAGCCTTGGCTCGAGCCATTGTTCTAAACAAATATATAACCCTCTCCTCTCCCCTTCAACACCGAGACAAAAACATTTTTTTCTCGTTTTATTTTTTTTATTTTTACCCTGGTGATATTGATTGGATAAACCGTAATGACTGCTTCAATGTTCGCAATCAATGGTGGAGTTCGTTCATTGGTATTTCGGGGGGTGGAATTGAGGGAATACGCGATTTTGGATAAATTCATTTGTCTACGGATGTTTTGTTGGGGTTGCTTTTGTCTCGGGGGGTAATCGAGGGGTGGATGTGAATTTATTTATGTCTGAGGTGCAGGAATAGTTAAAGTGGAGACAGGGTTTTGTTTGCACCGATGTCACATCTCCGAGTGGTAATTAATTCGAGGTGAAGTAATCGACATATGGGGGTTTGGAGATTGTTCGGGGATTGTTTGAAGCGGTAGTCGAGTATGCAGAAGTGAAATGGCTTTTGTGGATAACTTTCTAAAACAGCGAGACAGGTGTAATTCAATCGCGAGTGTGTGGAGATTGTTTGGGCATTATTCGGCCTTAATTGTAACCACTTGATTATTGTTCGGGGAATAAAAGGAATTGGTGGGCTAGATGTTGAGGGAATATTTTCATATATTACTTTTTCAGCCCTTTGATTTTATTGCTTCTGATGGGGACTCCTTGGTCTCAGCCTTTTTTTTTTTTTAACGGCTGAATGGTGAATCAAATTGATTAAGCAAGCATGATAACTCCCTCTTGGTACCCGTGATTTCATGATTATGTTGGATGATGTGGCACAATTACGATTTAACGAGCCTCGACGTTGGCCCCAAAAGGACGTGACGAAGGAATATTATTACTGGTCCCCAATGATATTCGTCACCCGATCGTTATTTAAAGTCACCAAATATCGTGGTGTTTTTTTTTAACTTGTAAAATTTCAGAGTTGAATATTCCAATTTCGATATAATGATAATGATAACAATTGTGTGTTGTTTTATTTTCTTGAAGGAGCGAAATGGAAATGTCTACCGGAGAATGAGAAACGCCCATTCATCGACGAAGCTAAGAGATTACGTGCAGAGCACATGAAGTTACATCCGGAATACAAATATCGACCTCGACGCAAACCAAAGACATTGAGAAAAGAGGGTTATCCTTACAGTATTCCATACGCAAGTGTCTCGATGGATGCACTGAGAGTCGGTGAGTTATCAATCATCCCCTCGTATATCTCAAGTATCAATCACAATCCCTCGGCCCATAAAAATGTTTATGATCCCTGAGATAGTAATCAAACAGATAAGACTCCAATCCTCATCAATAGGACTTGTATCACTTTATTATACTAATATTTGATTGACAGATTAAACTGATCACTCAGTAATTTTTCCACCGAACCGGAAAAATTACTCTTGAGAATTCCAATTGATTAAAAATATTTTCTCATTCAATTTTATCAGAGAAATTTCATTTTAAATTAATTAACACATAATAAATTAATTTCAAAGTATAGATAAAAATATTCTTAATAAACATTATAAACAAAGAATAATCCAAGTATTTAATATAAAAAAGAATTTTTTTTGTTCATCAACCCATCGATAATTTGCAAAAAAAAATAAAAATAAAAATAGAAACGTGAATTCTGGGTATATGTGGGTGAGGATGATCCTTAAAACTGGAAAGATTAAAATATAGGGGGTTATTTAAAATTCAGTAAAAGTGGAAGGAAGTGGAGAAGAGAATGGGCGTCAGGGTGTCTATTGTAGTGAAGGTGTCATGTGACTATTACTGAAAGAATACCTTTTTGGGGGGATTACAGGTATAGCTGGTGGGATGGGACAGGTGAGTATGAGTTCTTACTACGGACCAGCAGCCTATGGATCACTTTCGGCAGCGGGTATGGCTGCTGCTGCGGCTGCGGCTGCCCAACAGTCAGCAGCAGCAATGCCTGGCCTCGGGGCACCTGGCCAGGTGAGTTTTTCCATCTCTACATATATTTTTTTTTCCTTTCCCTCAATTCATACCTCTCACTTTCCATCTCTCTCACTTCTTAGATCCATCGTTACCCCCCTTGTTGAAAGAGTATTCCTGAATAGCCAACCCAACACCTCGACACTATTGCTCCATTCTTTTGAGCATTGGACTTTTCGTAGAAACACTCTCTCACACACTGTCTTCTCTCTTCCTTCTTCTTCTTCATCTTTTTGTTTCTCATTCCCTCACCTCCTTCTTGGTCCCCTCGACGCTTTCTGACCCCTGAGTTTCTCTTGGAATTCACCAAAAGCAATGGGACCCACGTTGGGACCATCACAAAGAAAATTCTATTCAATACCAGGATTGAAGAATAACGACAACAAGGAATAATAGGGGGTGGGCATTTTGAGACGGAAAATTTATTTTATGGTGTATAATTCCGGTGGGTGCCTGTGTCAATCCTTGACCTGGGAATTTGAGTTTTGATTTTTTTTTATTTTCTGTCAATGGACGGAGGGATACCACCACCTTGAGAATGGGAGAATGGTTGTAGTAAAAATGGGGGATGGTAGTCACCAAAACGTGCCTTCTTGGTGAATATTCTTCAGGTATAGTTTTAACGCTAGTCTCGTTTGTCCTCGAGGGAATAGCTTTATTGCTGGTTTGTTGTTTCAATGAGGGCGGGACGAATATTGTTACTGTAGGTACCATCATTCAGAGGACAAATGAAGGAGTGACGGCTGAATGCCGGACTATTATATTGTACCTGTAATTTTTGAGAAAATATGAAAATTAACAAGGGCTTTTCTTCGGATGGATTTTAATTTTTATTGGTGATTCGTTGGGCTTTTGGGTAGCACTGTAAACTCATAAAATCAAGTTTAAATAAAATGCCAAGGTTGGCCATACGAATTTTAAAGAAGCAACTGTGGGAATTGACAGGGACACGTGTTTCGTATTCATATGGAGAACTTGTGTAAAGCTGACCCGTGTGGTATACACGAAATTACATGGTTATTGTATATGTTACTATTCATCATCGGCTTTTCCAAGCAACACATAATTAACGGGACACGAGGTATACCTGTCCCGGAGACAATGCATACGTGTAAGAGAGATATTCAACTCTGTTGGTTCAATCATCAGCTGAATGTCTCTATTGTTTGTTTCCTATTATTTTTTCTCTAGACAGTGTTTCATAGTTATTCAAAACGGATACATGAAATTTCGAGGTGGAGAATATTGTTTTGAAATTCTTCTCTAGAAAAAAAAAGGAAACAGAAAAAAATAAAACGTCAATTTGTGAAAATTTCTCGGCCTTCGTGGAATGAGTTTAGAAAGATATGTAAATTTTTGAGAGGCCAAGGATCTGGGGATAAAAAATGAAAAGAGAGAAAAAATATTTCGGCCCCGAAGTGATAATCAATTGGACGCATATACAGAACGAGGTATCGCAAGTGGAAGAACTAGACTCTGGTGTAAATCATACACCGGGACAAAGCCGCTTAACGACCCGACAAAGGACCAAGAGCGCGGCATCTCAACGAATTATATATAGAATTGAGAATATCTTTCGCACCTTTTTTTTCTCGTCTTTTGCCTGCCCTTTATTTTTTCACGTTCTTTTTCATTTTTATGTATTATTTCTTGCACCCTCTCTCTTGTTACTTTTGCACAGCTTTTTTTTTATCCATACCCTGGCAATGGTTTATTTTTTATTTTCGTGCATACACGCATGACTTCTCTCTCAAAAGAAACCGTAACGAAATTTATAGCGATTGCTACTTTTGTCCTCGTGATAAAAGGGATTCGTTTATACTAAATGCTTTGCCTGTTGGTTTCTTCTTTGAATATAACTCAGGAATATATTTTTTGCTTGTCCAACTCGCTGAATTTAGGGACATCTTATATTAGAATAATATAAGAATGATTGTAATAAAATACTGTAATTTTCAGTGTCAAGAGATTATAGTTTATTTATAGTTGAAGATATTCGTTGATTGGGGTAAAATAATACGAATAGACGACAAGTGAGATTAACCCAATGAATTAAATGTTACAGGTGGTAAGCTCCATGGATGCTATGAAATATTCATTGGCAGAGGCTGAAAAATATCGTGCAGCTGCTTACATGCCTCCGAGTACTCTAGCAATGAGTATGTATCCAGATCCAAAGAGTCTTGACTCAAGTCCAAAATACTGGGATCGTGGATATCTCGAGGCTAAAACATACTTTGAACAATCTAAATTGTACATGGATCAGAAATCAATTGGTGATTACAATCACACGAGTTATGAATCCAATAAATTGTACGAGGACTCGAGTCCTGGTGGTGGACCAGTGAGAACACCGCCGACGGCTGATTCACCGGATGTTCTTAGACATCACAATACAACTGACAGGACAACTGAGCAACACAATTCGTCAAGTGCAAGCACAACATCAACACCAACGTCTTCAGCTGCCAGTCCTGGTGCTAGTTTACCAGCTTATTATCCGGGTAGTGTTCAAGCCACTGGATTGTTAGCATCACAATATGCTGGTTATCAATCTACAACAACACCTGGTAATGAACCATCGTTTAGGCGACCACTCACCGTCATCTTCTGACCCGATAGGCCGTAGCTCCAATCAATCGTAAGCAAATATCAATCACCAATTTATCCACCTTGAGATATTATTAAGAGCAACGTACAAACACATCATTAACGCGGAGATTAATTTCTATTGGAATTGAATGAAAAATTAATCTTTCGTAGAAATTCTTCTTCCGTCCATCGACACTTTTATTTTTTTTTCTTTTTTTCTTGTTTCTTTTTTTTTT